ATCTAGGTTTAAGAAAGCAGAGAAACCAATTTCTGGTTAAAGAGTTCAAAAGCTCAGGGTAAAGGAAAAAATTAGTAAGATTAGAAATTTAGAACTAAAAGGGATCCTGCAGATCAAATAGTCCAATCCCCTCATTTTACAGATGAGGAAACAGTCCAGAGAAGTTAAGTGACTTGCATGTGGTCAGATGGGTAGTAAATGGCAGAGTCAGATTTAAACCCAGATCCCTCAACTGTTATTTGTTGGTTAGACATGGCCCTTTAATTGTTTTTTGGTTGTTGTGCTAAACTCCCAGTGTGGAAATTTCCTCCAAAAGATATAGATAGGCATTAGGTAATATATGTCAAAGGTGAGGAAGCCAAGAGGGCAGGGAGGACAGAATTCATTGGAAGTCAAGCTCCTTCTTGGATGCTAAGGATCCCCTACACCATCCTGGTTGACTCTGATGCCCTCATTGGTGCCATCTGTAGATCAAGACATCCTTGCTGAATATGCTTGGTGCTCACTGCTTTTTTTCCTAGGGTTATATGAGAAGAAACATCACTACTATAATCATAATAGCTAGGTGCCTGGCCTCAGACACTCAGAAAATGTTACCCTAGGCAAGTCACTTAACCCTGTTTGCCTCAGTTTCCTCATCTATAAAATGAGCTGGAGAAGAAAATGGTAAACCATACCAGTATCTTTGCCAAGAAAACCCCAAATAGGGTCACAAAGAGTTGGGACATGACTGAAAAGACTGAATGACAACAACTCACCTCTCTCCTAACCTCTAGTCTCACATTTCAAACTACCTATTGGACATGTTGAACTGGATGTCCTATTGACATCTTCAACTCAACATGTCCAAAACAGAACTCATTATCCTTCCCCTCAAGTTTTCTCCTCTTCCTAAATTCCCTATTACTACCTTCTTCCCAGTCACCCAGCTCACAATCTAATCTAAGTGTCATTCTTGACTCCTCTCTCTCTCTCTCTCTCTCTCTCTCTCTCCCCTTCTCTCCTTCTCTTTCTTCCTCTTTCCCTGTCTCTCTCTCCCTCTCTCTCATTTCCTATATCCAATCTGTTGTCAAATCCCGTCAATTCTACCTTCATGGCATCTCTTGTATAGGCTCCCCTTTCTCCTCTGACAATGCTACCACCCTCATCACTTCCAGGTAATAGCCTTCTTTCTGATTGGTCTCCCTGCTTTACATCTCACCCTACTCCAGTCCATCAAATTGATCCTCCTGAAGCTCAGGTCTGATCATGTCATACACACACACCCCACCCCATTTAAAAAAACCTCCAGCAGTTCCCTATGTATCTTCAGGAGCAAATATAAAATCCTCCATTTGGCTTTTAAAGTCCTTCAGAACCTGACTTCTTCCTACCTTTCCATCTTTATACTCCTTATTCCCCTCCACACACTCTACAATCCAGTGACATTGGTCTCCTAGTTATTCCTTGAACATGACACACCATCTCCCAACTTGCAGCATTTTCACTGGCTTTCCTCTATGCTTTCAATTCTCTCCCTGCTCACCTCCATCTCTTGGCTTCCCCTGCTTCCTTCAAGTCTTGGCTAAATCCCATCTTCTTCAAGCCTTTCTCAATCCTCCTTAATGCTAGCACTTTCTTAGTTGATTATCTCCAATTAGATAGTTTTTACATAGCTGTTTGGATATTGTCTCCCCTATTAGACTGTGTCCTTGTCATTTTTAGTATCCCCAGAGTTTAACACAGTACCAATCCATTACCCTAGTTGGAATGTAAATTTGGAAGCCCAAAGAGTCCCATTTCAACTCCAGCCCCTGTAAAGAATATCCTTTAATAAAGCTTCTTTGAACATGTAAGTCATGCATAGGTTTCCTTTTCCCCTCCCTAGTGTGGACACTTGGCTTATCACATAATCACTCACCTGGAGAGGTGTTTGTTGCCAAATAAGGAATTGAAAAGGGCAAGAAAAACTAATCAAATCTTTTAATTTTTAAAAATCCCTTAAAATTCGTGGAGCACTCATTCAAATTGCTACCATGAGTAGCCCTAATGTAAAGTCATAATCTGGGCAATGATAATTCTTCATCCATTTTGCTTTTTCAGTTTGGATTGTTAGGTAAATCTCTTTCGAATAATCATGGGCCTCATTGAGGAACTCTTGCAATGTTCTGGAGCTTGATGCAGTTGGCCCAATATTATCTACAGGCAGAACCATCTGGAGAATGTTTCCACCTATTTGGAACTCACTTTTATTTGTACTCTGCCGTGGGGGTCAGCTACAACAGTGACATGATCCTTTGACCTGTATCTAATTCTTTATTTTATGCTTCTCTTGATATCAAAATGTAGTGAATAGCTGAAAAAAAGTGTCTATTATAACATCTATCAAGGGCTCTTACAACCATGATGCTACTTTTCTCTTAAGTCAGGAGACTAAGTTCCATTTAACATATACAATTGCCTCCAGAAGGAAGACAAATATAACAGTATAGATCACTGATACAATTCTCTTCATTTCCATATGTTCTGGTTAAGATTCTCAAGTAAAGCCACATAATCCTTTGTGGCTCCCCTTAGGTTTCCTTTTGGAAACTGCCTGTTAGTCATGACGCCACTCCTAGCCCCTCAAGATTCCTGGGCTTTCTGTTTTTTAAACTGGTCTCATAACATTTCTTTCCCTGGCATCTCAGCTAATGTATGCTGGTATGAATGATTAATAATTAGAACTAGTCTGTTATCATTTATAACCAACAAACATAGAGATCCACTGTCAGAATGGTATTTTATCATTTTTATTTTGTCATTTGATTTCTTCCCCATAAACTAATTGTTAATGACAATTTAATAAGCTATCATCATAATCATCATTAGCCTACTCCCTAGGAGAATTTGTTTATCTCAGCATTGTAGGAAAGTGGAAGAAGAATGTATGATCTCTGCTGTTGACCTTATAGTCTAGTTGGAGGGAGAAGATTAACATTCACTGTAAGACTGTGCATATTTAAGTGGTAGTAGAAACTGTAAACACAGTCGGAATTCAGAGAAGGGATATCAGTGAGACCTGCTGAAAGGGATTTAATATCTAACATTTTTTTAGTCAATGCTCTGCCAAGTTCAATTTTCACCAAAGCTTGTTGAAGACAGAAGACATGTCTTCTACTTTCTCTTAACCCCTTCAGGCATCTAGTCTAGTGCTTATACACATCACAGATGTCAGTCAGTCAGTCAATAAACATTTTTTTCCCAGAGACAATTGGGATTAAGTGACTTGCCTAGGGTCACACACTTAGTATCTGAGGCCAGATTTGAACTCTGATCCTCCTCATTCCAGGGCCAATGCTCTACCCATTGCCACCTATTTGCCCCATTCAATAAACATTTATTAAGCATCGATTATGTGCCAGGCACTGTACTAAACACTGGGGATACAAAAAGAGGGAAAAGATAGTCCCTGCCCTCAAGGAGCTTACAATCTAATGTGTCTAAAAGATGCTTACTCATTAACAGGCTAATTGAATGAGGAGAGTTCAGGAGGTGACAACACCTTCACTGTGAAACAACAACTACTAGATCCAACTCTGACAAACTTTTTCCGACAAATCTTTTTTAAAAAAATGTAGAACCTTTTAGGTGCTAATTTCAACTTCTGTAAGAAAAAAAGTCAATACACAGGAATGTGGAAAGGGATGGATACATTCTTCATTCTTCCCACCCACCACCCCTTTCCCCAAACTACTTACGGTGTAGAATTTAAAGCATAATTTCTGGAACTAAGTACCTTGACTATGCTATAGACTATCAATGATACATACAGGAAGGAAATGAACATAAAAACTTTTAATACATCTTCCTTTTATTTGTATAGAAGGATCTACAGCCAAAATAAAGCAGAAGGTTGATGCATTTCCTTGTATCACGTAGGCAAAGGTCAAAGCCTGGAGTCAGGAAGACCTGAGTCAAAATCCAGCCTCAGACACTTAAGAGCTGTGTGACCCTGAACAAGTCACCTAACCTCTGTTTGCCTCATCTGTAAAATGAGGATAATAATAGTACCTACCTTTTAAAGTTGTTGTGAGGATCAAATGAGATAATATTTGTAAAGTGCTTAGCACAGTGTCTGGAACCTACTAGGCATTTAATAAATGCTTATTCCTTTCTCCCTTCTCCTTCCTTTAACTTTCCAAATATCTTTGGTGGTAGAGACCTTTCCATATTTCAGATATGCTGCAATACCTCAGCTCAATTTGTCATTTGGACCACTTAACAAAGACTGCAAAGATTATCTGAATTTGCTATTATTATCAATATCATTTTTGTGAGTTGACTTTAAGAAACAAATATAACTTAGTGGGCTAGTGAAAAATTAATGAAAAAGCATTAACTTTAGATCACAGCTGCTAGTATTTTTACAAAGCACTCATGTTGCCTATATTTCTGTAATAGCATTTATTATTTTTGTACAATATATAACAAGAAAGAAGTCAATACAGGTTCCAGGAAAACTCTCTACTCCTCTAAATGTAACAGTATTTAAAGGGTGAGGTTTGCTGACTGAATTTTTGTTATTTGCAGCAGAACAGGAATAGTTAGAATCTATACCTTCTCAACAGGCTTTTATCCTTTACAATACATGCAACCCAATCTTGTGATTAATGGCAAATATTAATGCACACATTTATTCTTTACCCATGAGACTGTTTAAAAAAAAGGGAAAATGCAGAAAAATAAAAAAATGTTATAAATAATGCCTCTCAGTTGTTCCCTTAGATATTTCTTGTATTACCTCTCTAATTCATGTTTCTGATTGTGTTCACATTGTCCATTTCCAAAAACATCCCTTAAGATGTTTTGTTTGCTTGTTTCTGCCAATGCAGATAATTTGGGCTTTACATTCACCGTAAAAACCTTGTATCTGGGAAAGGATGAAAGAGTGAATTTGCAGTTTGGCTTAGACAAGGGTATTGAAAATAAATAACAATATCTGGGGAAAAAAATCCCTGTCATGCCATTGGCTCTCATAGTCACCGGGTAATTTGGGACACACTCCTGTGAAAATAAGAATGATATGACTTTATTAGTCTTTTCTGATTCTGGATTCTGCTTGGGTTCTGAACCCACAATAGGTCCTCAGTCGTTGATACTATATGGCACATAGTATCAACCTTTTCTTCTAATCTCCCACCCATCAATCTTATAAGAGGTTCCACATACTTGCTGGGAATTGTGGTTACAAACTGACCCCACACTAATACCCCTGCTCCTAGGAAAATGCACCACAGCCACAAGTCTGGACTAAGATTGGTGCAGCTGAAAACATTTCCGCCAAATTGAACAATGAGGAACTGTAAGGCGAATGTTCCCCCAACAATGGTGCAAAAGATATTATTGCTGAGGATTCCTTCAAAGACATTTCTCTCACCATGAATCTTTCGAGCATTAATTTCATTGAACAGCTGCATCATAACAAAAGTGTTGAATACCATCGTATAGTGGGTGGAAGGAGTCGCATGGAGAAGAGCTTTCCTTCCGCTCTCGAAATCAAACAGCTCTTCACCAACAAACATAAGAACAAAAGTGACTGTAAGCTGGTACGCTGCATGGCCCAAAATATACTTTACCATGGAACTGGACAGGAGATGCTGTTTCCTCCCATAAGGTTTTCTCATCAGAAGGGCCTCAGTTGGCTTTTCAGTGAGTAAGGCAAGAGAAGCAAATGCATCCATTATGAGGTTAATCCACAGCATCTGCACTGCTTTAAGTGGTGAATCCTGCGTCACACATGCCCCTATAAATGTCACCACCGTTGCCACTACACTGACAGTCAGATGAAACTGGAGGAATTTGGAGATGTTGTCATAAATGTTCCTCCCCCTCATAATTGCTTTCATAATGCTTGTGAAGCTGTCATCCATTAGAATGATGTCTGAAGCTTCTCTAGCGATATCTGTTCCAGTGATGCCCATGGCAAACCCAATATCTGCTGCTTTTAATGCTGGGCCATCATTAGTACCATCACCTGTTATGGCTACAATCTGCCTCACTCCCAAAATATCACTGTCAATTATACCTTTTATAAGTGTGTATTTGTCAGTGGGGGAACACATTGCAAGCACACGAAGTCTGGGCCAAATTCTGTCTAAAAGCTTCTGTTCGACCTTCCCGCGCCTGTCACATATTAGCCTGTTGAACTCTCGGCCTTCTAGACAAGAATAATTGTCATGGAGGTCCAAAATGCCACATTTGAATGCTATCGCCCGGGCAGTGTTGAGGTTATCCCCAGTGACCATCCGGACAGTGATTCCAGCTCGCTGGCATTTCCTAATGGCACTTGGAATCTCAGGTCTAACGGGATCTTCAATACCTACAAGAGCAATACACGTAAGTTCTGTAACGATATCCTCTTCTCTGTCCCAGTCTGGCTCTTGTTCCTGATCTGAGAACTCTCTGAAGGCCAGACAGATGGTTTGAAGTCCTTCAGAAGTCATTGGCTCAATGATGTTGTGAACAATTTCTCTTTTTTTGGTTTCTGTCAATTCCACAGGCTGTCCCATTTTATTCAGGATTTTACAACACTTTGCTAAGACTATTTCAGAAGGACCTTTACTGAACATCAGGAAACCCCCGCTGGACAATTTTAATACAGTACTTGTGGATTTTCTATCTGAGTTCAAGGTATACACTTTATACAAACTCTGCTGCGGTATTTTGTTTCTTTCTGTTTCATAATCCAATTCCAAATGCAGGAGAAATCCCAATAAGGCACATTCGGTTTTATTGCCAATTTGTTGTACTGACTTCTTACCATCTTTGGGAAGAATGATATTGGAAGTATAAGAACAATTAACAGTGATACCTTTTAAAAGATACTCCAGGATAGCACCTGGGATAGAATTGGTTTTGGGGAGCTTTTGATAATGAGTCCCACCAATATAAGCCTGGACGACAGTCATTCTGTTCATGGTCAGTGTTCCAGTTTTGTCTAAGCAAATGGTTGTGGCATTTGCGATTGTCTCACAAGCATCCAAATGCCTTACTAGGTTTTTGTCTTTCATCATTTTCTTTACTGAGTAAGCCAAAGACAGTGTGAGTACAAGTGGAAGACCTTCAGGTACAGTCACCACAAAGATTGTCATTCCAATAATGAAAAATTTAATAAAATATTTGATATAAACTGAAGTACAACCATAAGTCCATTTTTGCCTCTCAGTCACAAAAGTATTAATTACAAAGTAGGTCACAAGAATAACTACTGTGATGGTGGCCATGAGCATACCACACTTCCCAACCAGGACTGCTAATTTTGTCAATTTCTTTTGTAGCACTGGCTTTGCTTTGGAGTAGGAATGTTTTGGTTTTATTATGCTCTTGCCTTGACTTGCCCACTCCAGGACCTTTCTATGGTCTTCGGACCTTCCTTGCTGGGCACTGGCAGCAAGCAAGGTCAGGATGATCCCAGTTTGTGAGTTGGGTCCCACAGCAGTCACTAGGATTTTGCCCCAGCCCTCCATCACATAGGTCCCAGACAGAAGAATCGGGTCAAGGTCCAGGGACTTCTTCACCATGTCCAACTCTCCTGTCAAGGAGCTCTCATTCATTTTTAAGTTCTGTGCCTGGAGTAGTACACCGTCTGCAGGCAGCATGTCCCCATAGGACACTGGGACTACATCACCCACCACGATGTCCTTGACAGGTACCTCCAGAATCTGGCCGTCCCTCACTACCTTTCCTTTCTGACTTAGGACCACTCGGTCCTGCAGATTCCTGAACTGCTTCTCCTTGTTCCAGTCAGTTAAGGCTGTGGTCAGCACCACCAAAGCCACTGACATCAGCAGGACTGCTCCCTCCAGCCAGGGCACCACGTTACCTTCCTTCTCGGAGCCCCCGCTGACATAGCAGCCTTTGGTGTCTCCGCTGACCTTGGGCTCATAGAAAGCCAGGGCCAGGGACGCAACAGCCGCCAACTCCAAGAAGATGAGCGTTGTGTCCTGCAGAGCATCCCACACCAGCTCCAAGAAACATCTGCTCCGAGTTTTTGGCACCTCATTGGTGCCAAACTGCTCCCTCCTGCGGCTCAGCTCGCCAGGGTCCAAGGGGAGCCCGAGCTCGGGGTCCGTCTGCAGCAGCTGGCACAGCCCCGACACGCCGCCGAAATGCAGCTCCAGCCAGTCCAACGCTTCCAAGCCCCGTCGTTTCATCAGCTGTTCCAGGTCCTTTAAACTCTCTTGCAGCAGCGGCTCTCCGATATGGGAGAACCTTAAGTGAGCGTCCGCTGCCCGCGGCTGACGCGAGGGGGCCTCATTGGCCACCCTGGGCTTTGCCAAGTTCCGTCCCTCCAGCTTTGCTTGGATGCTTGCCCTTGTGGAAACTACAACTTCTCTCCCTCGCCCTTCGCCAGTAGGACAGACATCTAGAACCCCAGGCGCAACCGCCAACCTGAGCCTCTGGACCCTTCCCAGTCCTACCCAGCCACGAGGCTCCCAGCACGAGCTTCTTTTGTCTCCTTTTAAACTTAAATACAGAAAGAGAAAAGAAAAAAGAAAAAAACAAAAACATTGCTATGTATACAGCAGAACATGAGAGAGGATTCAATATGAAATAATAAATTTCCATTTCAAGAAAACCTATATAATAATACTACACGTTGTTTTCAAAGCTGCCCTTCCTTCTAGGTTTTCTTTTGTTCTCTGCTGTGTACTTTTTTTCTTTATTTTTCCCCTCCTTCCCCCCACCCCTCCCCACCTAAAGAAGGCTACAATTAAACACACACACACACACACACACACACACACACACACACATACATAGATATCAATAAAACATACACATATACACTAATACACATATATGTAAGGCTGTGTTATGCTTATTTCCACTTGTCATCTGTTTCTCTGAAAGTAGATAGCATCTTCCTTCAAAAGTCCAAGTCTTTCCACATTTTTCTAAATAAACCAGCTCATCATTTCCTACACCATAGCAGTATTCCAACCCAATCATATCTTATCTGAGAGATTGTCTATGAAAAATCCCCCCCAATATTCTGCATTCCTTCTATTTTTGGCTGTATGGATTTTATTTGCACAAGAAAATGTTTAATTTAAAATAATAAAAATTGTCCATTTTACAATGCTCTCATAGTTTAAGATCTGATACTTCTGAATCTCCTACCTTTACATCTTTTTCCTCTGGTTTCTTTGAAGTTATTGATCTTTTGTTCTTCAAAATGAACTTTGTTATTTTTTCTAACTCAGTAAGATAATTTTTTTGGTAATTTTATTGGGATGGCATTGAAATAGATTAGTTGGGTAAAATTGTCATTTTAAAAAATTATATTGGCTTTACCTGCCCATGAATGATAAATATTACTTCAATTATTTAGATCTAATTTTATTTGTATAAAAATGTTTTATATTTATGTCCATACAGTTCTGGTGTCTGTTTTGCCAGGTATACTCTTAGGTATTTTATACTGTTCAGTTATTTTAAATGTTCTAAAACAACATTGAATAATATTGCTGGCGCATAGTGTAGTTTCCCTATTTTTCTCTTTTGATTAAATGTATTTTAGCTTTAACTTTGTCTGAGATCATGATTACTACCCCTGTTTTTTTTAACATAATAAATTCTACTCCAGCCCTTTATTTTATCTTTGTGTGTATCTCTCATTTTTATAGCATTTCATGAAAGCAACATACTGTTGAATTCAAATTTTTATTCTGCTATCAGTTTCCATTTTATGGGTAAATTCATCCCATTCACATTCTAAGCTATAATTACTTGTGTATTTTCCTCCTTCCTATTTTTCCTCACTATCCTTCTCACCTTATACCTAATCCTCCTCACTCCTCTGCTTTACTTCTACCTGCTACCTTGGCTTCTTATTCCTTAACCTACCCACCCCTCCAAGAGTCCTCCCTTTATCCTTTCACTCATCTTATCTCCTTGCCCTCTTATTTCTTTCTGAATTTATAGATATATAGATCTATATACATATATATAGATATATATGTTGTTCTCTCTTTAACCCATTCCTGATAAGAATAAGGTTCCAGACTACCCACCTTCCACTAGATTCTTCTGCATCAATTTTTCCTTTTCTGTCTCATTTATATGAGAAAATTGCTCTTTTTTATCTCTCCCTACACAGTTTTATTTTTTTAGATTCACTCCATCATACACAGTTAAGCCTAAGCCTTTCCTTCAAACTACCCAAATAATGATGATAGTCATAAGAGTACTGATAATATTTTCACATATAAGAAGTAAACAATTTGACCTTATCAAATCCCTTATAATTGGTCTTTGATGTTTACCTTGTATTTCTCCTGGTTGTTATATACCGAATTTCCCCTAAGTTCTGCTATTTGTCACAAATACCTGAAAGTTTTTCATTTTTTTTTTATTCAGGATTATACTGAACTTTGCTGGGTAAGTTATCCTTGGTCATTACCTGAGCTCTTTTGCTCTACAAAATATAGTATTCCAAGACCTACGGTCCTTCAACATAGTAGCTATGAGGTCTTATGTAATCCTTATTGTAGCTCTATGATATTTAAATTTCTTGTTGCTTCTAATATTTTCTCCTTAACCTGGTAGCTTTAAAACTTGGCTATGATATTCCTGTAAGTTTTCCTCCTGAGAACTCTTTCAGGTGGTAATCAATAGATTTTTTCTATTTCTGCTTTGCTTTCATATTCCAGAACTTCAGGGCAATTTCCCTGATAATTTGTTGTACTATTGTATCACCAGCATGAGCTTAGTACCCCAAGTGTGCAACTGCTCTCTCACTGGAACCTACTTGTCCTCTTCCTCCTCCTCTCTCGCCACCTAAAGTGCCCACCATCCACCAGGCCTTAGATTATAAGCCCCCAGCATTGCTCCTCATCTTTCCCCCTTTGTCAGGTCACCCCTACCTTCCAGATCAGACCCAGGGCCTTCTGCTTCCCTATTTAAGCTCCTCCTCCACCCCCCCCCCAAGACTCCCAGCTAATGGTGACACCTAGGCCTACCTCTAAGGTTTTTTAAGTGGGCAGAGCCCTTCCATAGTGCAACAAAACAAAACAAAACCCAAACACATCCTCCTCAACTCTCCCTCCCCCAACAAAAAATATTTTATTTTCCTAAAGCACAAGTCTGACCTGCAGTGGATCTCTATTGACACTAGGATCTAATATATTTCATCTTTATCTTACCCTTTTAAAATTCTATTTTTGTGTACATTTGAAAATGTAATGATAATGCTGTTAGTATAGCAACACATGCAAATAATTTATAAATAACTAAAATGCATATATTCGGGGTACCTGATCAAAAAATTTTACAAATTAAGGTGCATGATAAAAATTTTGAGGACCATCACAATTAGCAATTATATGAGGAAACTGAGATCCAGAGTGGCTGAAAGATTTGCCCAAGGTTGCCTGGCAAATTAATGATAGACACAGGACTAGTATTACAATCTTCTGATCTTAGTACAGAGTACTTTCTAAGGCAACATGCTGCCTCCTTAACGCCATGCCTCTCTAGGAGCTTGCTCTATCAGTCATCCCTTCTCTCTCACAGAACCTGTTTCTCCCTCTCCTCTGAAGGTTGCTTAATAGGGGAGTGACGTGGTTAGAATGGTGCTTTAGGAAAATCATGCTGGTAGCCATATGGAAGATAGACTGGAGTGGGAGGGAGACTTGAGGCGGGTAGACCAATTAAAAGGCAATTGTCCAAGTAAGAGGTGATGAGGCCCTCAAAAGTCATCAGGCTTGCTTCCAACCCAGCCTTCACAGCTGTTACAGGGAGAAATCTCTGTGGGGACTGAGCCTGCCTTCCTCATTACCACCAGCAATAACCACTGACCAATTGCCACCAACCAGTAGATGGGCACAGGAGCCCTGGGAGTAGCAGCACTGACTCCAACCTTGCTTCTATCCCAGCCCTTAGAGCCAGCATTTGGAGAAGTAAATCTTGTGAAGAAGGAGTCAGCCATTCCCCACTAATTGCCAACCAGAGCCTCACCTAGGGCAGTAGAGCCAGCCCAGCAAGGCACTCCAAGGAGCCTGGGTAGGGAGGGTGGTGGTGGTGGAGGAGAGACAGGAGGCAGCATGTGCCAGGGAAGTCAAACCACCACCACCTTGATCACAATCTTCCATCAGATGCTGACGGAAATAGCCCAGCACACTGAAACCGAGAGCCTTAGAAACAGTAAGGATTCCAGACCGCTGCTCTCAACCATCATCCTGGGAAGAAATCCATGTGGAGATGCAGTTGGCACCTTCTCCTCCAGGTACTACAGCCATAGCTACTGAAGACCTAGGGGAAGTTCTTCCCAGGAAAGTGCTTGACATTGTTAAATGGTTCAACCTCAGAAACTGATGTCTCTTTATTAGTGAAAATGACATTCAAGAAGAGCCATTACCATCGGTTTTTCCGCTTCGCCCTAAGGATCGTGGGACCTTTCCATCTGACTTGCAGCTGAAACCTTGCATATATATTGTCCCCTTGAGACAATACATACATACATACATACATACATACATACATACATATATATATGTTGCTCCTTGAGAGCAGTGATTATCTTTTCTGTTTGTATTTCCCATGCTTATCACAATGCTTCGCATATAGTAAGGACTTAATAAAAGCTTCATTCATTCATTCAACTAGGGTAGTGGCTGCATGAGTAGAAAGAAGGGGACAGATTTGAGGAATGTGAGAGTAGGACTGAGTGACTGGATATGTAAATATGCTGTTGTTCAATCATTTCAGTCATGTCTGACTTTTTGTGACCCCATTTGGGGGTTTTCTTTGCAAAGATTCTGGGATGGTTTGCCATTTCCTTCTCTAGTTCATTTTACAGATGAAAAACTGAGGCAAACAGAGTTAATCAACTTGCTCAGATTCACAAAGCTAGTAAGTGAAGTGTCTGAGGCTGCATTTGAACTCACAAAGACTAGTCTTCCTGACTCCAGGTGTAGCACTCTATCCACTGCACCACCCAGCTGCCCATATGTGGATATAAGACGAAGAAAAATGAGGAGTTGAAGATAACATCAGAGTTGCGAAAACCTCAGTACTAGAAGAATGGATATGTCCTTCACAGTAATAGGGAAGTTCGGAAGACAGATGGGTTTTGGGAGAAAGATAATGTATTATCTTCTATCCAGATCATAAACTATGTATACGTATATCCTGTACGATTCATTGAAATGAAAAAGTGGTAGGGGGAGGTGAATATTTAGCTTACTAGTCATGGCCCTCAAATACCCTCCAAAGGGCATTTGCCACAGTGATGAAATTATCAAGAGGTGAGGATAAAATTTTCTTAATGGCATGTGCCAAGTAACCTGGAAAAAGATTCATTTAGGTTTTAATTACCCTTAAAAGGCCAAGACTTGAGGAAAAAAGGGCAAAGTGTTAGGAAATAAAGATAGGCATAGTTGTATTGGAGGCAAATTCCCCAACTGGCTATGGATTACTTATCACCAAAAGGGTGGACTTCAATCTGTCTTCCCACCTTCTGAATGGT